AGCCAGTGGCAGGTGACCCAGTGTGCAGGTGAGCCAGTGTGCAGACTCTACTTTAGAGCAATGGAAGAATAAGAGAGACCAACTGATTGTCCAGCAGTTTTCCTTTTATGCAAATTAATAACCTATCATGCATTTATTTAATTCCTTAAATTTGATTTCCCTAAACAAAGATAATTGGATGCTTTGAAACAAATCTGATACTGAAACAAATCTTACACTGAAAGGATGGTTTAACAAAATGGCCTTCTTAAATGAAATATTAAAAGGCGATACCCCTGGGCTGGAGAGACAGCTCAGTGGTGAAAAGCACTGATTGCTCTTCTACAAGTCCTGAATCCAATTCCCAGCAATCACATGGTGGCTCACAACCATCTATAATGGGATCTGGTGCCCTCTGCTGGTGTGTCTGAAGACAGCTACAGTGTACTTATAAACATTAAGTAAATATTATTTTTTTAAAAAGGAGATACCCTTTTCTTTTGAATATATGAACTCATGAGAATATTATAAACAAATTCTAGTACAAAGCCAGTGACTAAGCCAACTAGAAAGTCCTACCATTAAATCAACTGCCACTGATTTTTACACATAGGAATAACCAGACATAAGTTCTCTTCTCTCTATTCTTCCTTGCACTTCCATGTTCAGCCAGACTTCTGTATCCCAAAGTTCATCTACTAAATATGACAAGCAATAGCAGTGTATGGACAGTATTACTTTACAGATCATCTCTCAGTGCTTTTGACTCTTTTAAGGTGATTTTACACTGAAAGGATCTAACAGAAATCTCCATATAAGTGTGCCTAGGCTCACACTCTGCAGTGGACATCAGTAATGCGTGCATGCATGCAGCTGAGGTAGAGTGGGACCTCTAACAGCAGCGTCAGGTCTACAAACTGTATCTGACAAGAAGGACTCCTTACCCTCACACCATTCCTTATTCCTTAGCTGCAGCTCAGGGGCAGGCACAGGACTCCTATCACCTTCTGCTGGAGTGAGCTGTAACCCAAGAGAACTTTAATGCCAAATCAAAGTACAAAACTGTTCACAACGCTCTTTTAAGTGTGTAGCTTCAAGCACAGCACAAAGAGTGATCATCAAAGATACAAGCTAGGCTGTAACGGTAGAGCCCAAAGGGGCAAGAAAACAACTGATATGATCACCTGACAACTGGACAGTTCCACTTGAACCTCTGCACCAACTAACAACAAAAATCTCACCATGTCCTACTTATCAAAGGTTATGAATCCAGCCCCATCTGGGAGTTTATGAAGAACTATCATTTCCAGTATTACTTCCAGAATATCCTAAATTGGACAGAATTCTAGAACACCACAAAACACTAGCCAGGCTGTGTTATCAAAGAGGCCGGGGTGAAAGAAACAATATAAACTCTTCAGCTGCTTAGTTTTAGAAAACTCACTGCCTTCTGCATCTTACAATTATCAATACAGTCTTCTGTATCTAGTTCCACAGTATTCCATAAACTCTTAACCTACAAACTATCTAGTGAGCTACTGTAAACGATAATCTGCTTGTTACTAAAATTAAAAATGGAGAGTATAGAACAAAGCTTAAGGTTTTAATGAGCTAGCTATGTCCTTTATTCCTTCCTGGAGCATTTCTGCCGCTCTTTGTAAACAGGTTCCTATGTATTCCAGGCAGAGATGACACTCACTATACAGGCAAGGAAGACACTATTCCTGATCCCCCTGGCTCCACTACCAAGTGCTATGACTACAGACATGTACCACCACGCCCTGTGATTCCTAGTTTTAAAAATCCCTATATACAAAAGGGCATATAAGTACTATCTTACTATACATTCAGCCATTTAGTAATTAAACTTATTATTATTAAACCATTCACACACAACAATAATGAGCAATGATCTTGAGTAATAATGACATGATTTCAAGAAAATTATTTCCTCATGGCTGTCAGAAATCTATCCCAACAGTGACCAATCATCTGACCAAAAAGGTAAGACGTAACGAAGTGCTCTGAACTATGTAACCAAAGAATATTTACCTACTGCACAGATTCCTCGTCTACACCCATTTCAAGTATTAAAAAACAAAAACAAAAAACCTATGAAGTCCTTTAGGGCTGGGTGTGGCTTTATCAATTTGAATCTACAACTCTTCCACCTATCTGAAAGTAAAAACTGCAAAGTGAGGTCCAATAGCTCTCTCTCTTCCCAGACTTAAGAAAAGCAACTCAGCCTCACCCAGCCCTCAAATCCACCTCAAAGGTCCTCCCAAGTGGAGTTGAAGAGCAGACACTCACCATCCCACAGAAAATCCTTGCAAGAGGAGGCTGCTGGGATCTGCGGCTTGGTGTTCCCTCCGCAGCTGTGTCCTTCCTGTTTTCTCTCCTGAAGCTATTAGAAGCCCACGTAGGAGCGCATCCAAAGCCAGTGTCCACAGCTCTTCCATGAAGACACCTAAGTCTGTGTGTCCTAAGTGACTACCTTTCCAACGGCTTGTCAGCACCCTCAAAACCCAACTTCACATCTGCTGTGTCACTCTACCTTATTCCAGAAGTGAGCCATATTTTTATCCTGGTTTTTATACTAGAGAATACAAAATTACAACTCTGTAATAGCATTAAAAGCCAAGGGCACAATCTTGAGGACTGTGGTCTGCACCTGTAAACACACAAACCTAGAAATGCATCAAAACAAGGGCTCGTGAGAATCAACTCCCAACTACAGAGTGATTATATTTTTACAACTTCTTTCCTGAGGTCTCAGCCTGAGAACTGTCACAGGCAATCTGCTACAAAGGCATTATGCTATGTCAACACATATCTTTAAATTTAAACTCTAAAAGCTCAATCGTAGTAAAGTCAAGCTTGAGATCAAGGACAGTAAAATAAAATAAGAGTCACAATATGGAAGACAAACTAAGACTGTTTTGTAGGCTTAGGAGAAACAAGAGTACAACTCTAGGAGACAGAGTCTCTAGGAGACTACAGTCTCTCAACTCCCTTTTCTTCTTCAAAGCTTGCTTATTCTCAGTTCTGAAACACAAGACGGTTGGAGGAGAGAAGGAAGAGAGAATCCATCACATTAAGGATACACTATCAGGTATCCAATATGCATCTCAGAACTCAGAGTTTAAAAAGCCTTCCTGCTACAGAAGCTAGCTGTCTCCGGTTGGAACTGTGGTTTCCCAAACGCCTGTTGTAGGTGTGCAAGCCCCTGTGGCATTTTATATTAAAACAAAGTGCATTTTCCTTTACACCCACAAGTATACACCCTGTTAGAATTCAATTTTCTAAAGCTGAAAGTGAACAAAATTGTCTAGACTCTGCACATCTTTACTTGTTTACAACCTCTCAAAGTTAGAACTAAAAAAATGAGGTTTGTCATTTTATCTAGTTTCTTTGGGTCTGTAAGGATCACCTCAACACAACTTCCACGATATGTTTAAGTGCCCCTCTTCTCTCCTCTCTAAGGTGTTCCGAACCTACCCTCAGGCAAAGATTTTGAGCAGGTTACACCCAACTTTTGAATCAGAGTGAACACATATCCACATAATGGTAAAACACATTTAGCCAATCTGCTGACAGCCATGCTAAGCAGGAGTCTCTCATTCAAAGGAGTACAAGGGTCACTGCTACCTCACACCCTGCCTAAGGTGAAAGGCAATCTTGGTAGTCGCATTTTTTTACTTTCTAACATCACCTAAAAGGTATAAAGGGAGCAATTTCCACTTAATCAGAAACAGTCCCTTTTTAATACTTTTGCAACCCTGACCCCTCGTTCCTATTCTTTTTTCACACTGTAAAATCCAAAGAGGAAGGAAGGTAGATAAAGTACATCACCAAGAGGTGAGACAGTGCATTGTTCTCCCGGAGCCAGGGAGTCAGTAAGCTTGGGGACACAAGCTTCTGGGCCATCAGGTGGCTCTGGTGTCCTTTCCAAGCCAATCTTACTGTACAAGGCGCACCTAACAATCTCCTCCTGCTGCGTGATTGTTAGTTGTTCAACAGAGCCTAGCCCATGACCCCTGGCTTAAGTTTATTCAAACTGAAGCTACTACTTGAAATTGACCCAAAGCCTACAAGCCAAAGGCTAAAAGAAAGCCGCTCCCAAAGGTTCAGAAAAGGCATAACGGTTACTTCTGTTTTATTTTCAACTGTACCTGCTATGGAAGGAGAGTGCATAAAAGGCACACTACATTACCGAATTCTCTCAGAAGAGTGGGGATTTCATCGACGACGGAGAAGTGCCTGACACAGAACAGAGGACGAAGATAGCTGCCTCCGCCACCGCCGCCGCCGCCGACCCCAGTCCGTGACCGTGACCAGGCTGCTGGTGGTTTATCATCCCTCCAAATCTGAAAGTCCCTATCTCAAGATCAATCAAAAGCTGGGGGAAGACATGTCTTCGGAAAGCACAAGCAAGGCCACAACTTGGATGAATAAAACTGGGCTAAAGGTACCCGGAGCAGGACTTTCGCTGGAGTCAGAAAAAGAAAGGTCAAAAGATTTTTTTTTTCCAGTGTGACAGCGGTAACAAGTACGTGGGGTACACAGCCGGCACTGGCGAGCTTTGGAGGAAGGCTGTACTGATCGCGGACGCTGAGGGCAGGCAATCGGGACGAGCGGCCGGCGGGGACGACGAGCAGCTTCTCGACGCGTGGGCGCAGAGCGGTGCCGGCCTGGGTTCTCGCGCGTGTCCTCCCGCAGTCCTTCCATCGGACTCCTGAGAGTCGGGGTCCGAGGCCCGCCCCGCCCCCTGGCCCGCTGCCTGCTCGGCACACCCCCCTCCCGCGACCGCGCACACGCGCGGGCACACACACACCCCGCCTCCCGCGCGCACGCGGCCGCGCCGAGCGCCCGACCCACGCGCGCCCCCTTTGCGCCCGCGACCTCCCGCGGACCGCACGAGGGGGGCCCGGTGTCCGGCAGGCAGGGCACGCGGGGCTGGGAGGCCTAGAGGCGGCAGGGCGCGCCCGCGCGGGAACTCGGTCTGAGGGAAGGTCACTTACCCGCCGCATGGCTTTCAGAATCAAAGCCAACTCGTAGCGGGGCATCGCCCGGGATGACGGCGCCGAGTCCAGGAGAACCGGGGTCGCGAGGGCGGGGAAGCGGGGCGCTGAGGAAGACGAGAGGAGACGCAGCCGGTCAGCTCCCGGGCGGCGAAAGCGCGGTGCGACCCTGCGAGGCCCGGTTTAAAGGCTCAGGCAGCTGCGCAGACGGCTCGCCCCGCCCACCCGGCACCGGCCCGCCCACCCGGCACCGGCCCGCCCCTCTCCCGGAGGGCGCCTGCACTTGCACCTCCGCGGTTTCCTGTCTGCCCTGCCCCGGTCGTGTCTGTGTCCCTGAGCCTGCGGAGTGTGGACACGGTCTCGAGCAGCCCGTGGGAGGCCGTATCCTCGCTCCGCGCGCAGCCGCTCCCCGCCGCCTCCGCGCCTACCAACCTTGGGCTCTGGAACCCGGTGGAACTTTCCAGACCTCCCGCTCCCCCCCTCCACCTACCCCCACTTCCCGGGCGCTAGGCCGGCGTGTGCGCGTGCGCCGCGGTGCGGTGCGATGCGGTCTGGCTGGTGTGTTCCCCTCGCCGGCGTCTCCCGGGAGGAAGGCGGGGTGCTAAGGAGTGACTGCGGCACCAAGCCGCAAAGAAACAAGCCTGGAACCGAAGGGCTATGTGGGCATTTGCTGTGTGCGCCTAGGCTGACCCAGAAACAGGCTAATGCTTCCGCTCTCGCCAATTATTCTTTTAAGTATTACCCTTGCTTTTCAGGTAAAGGAACCTAAGGGTTCCCTGGAGCATGGGAGTTAGAAGGAGCATCATAGAGGGTTCCAGGTCCAGCACGCCCCAGCGCTTACGGGAGCGCGCACGCGCGTACACCCACGCGTACGCGCGCACACAGAGCGAACTCAGGACTCCCCTCCCCTCCCCTCCCCTCCCCTCCTTCTGCCCCTAAAGTAGGTGATGTTTTCTTAGCTCTGGAAGGCGCTAATCCCCTGCAGTGGTTGTCTTCTGCTCCTACCTTTCTCCAGCTAAAAGGGTCTTTAAGTGAAATGTTCTTGTAACTTTAAAGTGCTCTAATAACATGGTAATTTATTGAGGGCTTACTGTCTGTATCAGACACGACACTGAGGCTGTTTGTTCTCACATTAGCCCTGTGAAGCAAATCGTACTACTCGCCCTATTTTAGGTATTAGCAAACATAAACATGCAAGGATAATTTAATTAGCCCAAGGTCATACACAAACACGTAGAAAGAAAATTTGTGTCCAGAATGTCTGAAGAGTAGGTTCACTGTTACACTTATGAACCTCACCTCATCCCCATCTTACGGGCCAAGATGTTGGTCTTACTCAATGACGTTAGACATCTTAGTAAAGCACAAATGGAGACTATCTTTGTCACCTCCACAGACCAAGCTCCACAAAAGATTATGGTTTTGAATACAACCTACAACACCTGGACTTTTAACAGTTTCATTTCTCAGATTTATCCATAACCTGTGCCCTTTAAAAAAAAAAAAAAAAAAAAAAAAAACCTACAAAACCACCTACTTAGCATCACCCATGCACATGGTTGGTTGGGTTTTCGTTTTGGGTGTTGTTGGGGTTTTTTGTTTGATTATTTGGCTTGTTTTTGGGTTTTTTGTTCTTTGGGGTTTTTGTTTGTTTGTTTTGTTTTGTTTTTGTTGTTACTGTTTTGTCTTTTTAGCAGCATGCTACCAAAAAAAACCAGAAGGAAGAAAGAATTTCTGGACTTTGAGAAGTGAATTCCAGATCTGTCTGACATCCCACTTCAACTGTCCTTTCTGTCATCAATTCCATGGCCCAGTTTAGGAATTTGAAGATAAGAACCTCACATAGCTAACTAAGCCAAACCAAACACCAAACAACACCCTGAGCCGACCAGCCTGGACTGCCTCCTCTTGGAAGCACCACAGATTTTCCCTGATACCCAGGGAAGAGTGAAGCCCTAGTTCTCTAGACAAATGAGGTGAGGAAATTAGCCTACCTGAACAATGCCTGGGACAGGCAGCACCCCCACAACCCTCCCAAGCTGTGGGCCACCCACAGACTCATCCCATTTCTTAAAGTGGAAAAGAAATCAGCTATCCTAAGACCCCCTCCCCTTTCAGTGTTTTAAATAAGTGGCTATGGCTTCATTAATTTTATTCTTAAATTAATGCTGATGCAAATTTAGCAAGTACTATGTTTGGTAAGCATGTGGAATCAAAAGCCGTTTCTATAGTATTTAATTTATTGATTTTAAAAAATATATCTTTTAGGATCTTGTGGGGGGAAAGCTAATACGGCAGATACATAAGATTTTATTGGCCAGAGATTTTTGGCTAATTTTCAAGTATAGCCTTCTAAGGAGTAATAGGAAGAAAGAATAAAGACAGAAGTTGAAATCCAGGATGTTCCAGTCAGTTCATCACCTTGCCATATCATCTTCTATTACTGTGTAAGGAGAGATTTGACCTTGAGAATAATTCTCAAGATAGCCGAGTTGTTGTTGTTGTTGTTGTTGTTGTTACCAGACCTTAAATTTTGGCATTGTTGTGAGCCAAGAAGCATTGTAAGTGCTTCGCATGTATTAATATTCATTTCTGACCGTAAAGATGGGTATCATCACTACCACCATTACATGGGAAGAAAATGAGGCCTAACAAAGCTTCTGTCGCTTGCCCCAGATCAGACGGAATTCTGGACTTGCACACTTAACCCCAATACTGCACGGCCTCTCAGAGCCTACTAGCCAATATGGCAGCTAGAGCTTGACCAACAGTATACCAGTGGCTGTAGTCCCCCCTCCAGCAACTATACTAAACTCTCTTCTCTCCAAAGGCTACTTCCTTCTCCCCTCTAACCTGTGCAGGCGTGTCTTCACTCTCCTTAGCCTAGCCACCCTCTCGGCTTGTCATTCTCTTCTTTCTTTTCAACCACATTTTCCAACTGTAACCAAACTCACTCTACCCATTTGTCTGTGTCTGCCCAGGCTGTCACTACAGGGTCTTCTCACTGCCTGTCCAGGAGCTGTTTCCCAGGATCCTGGTTGCCATCTTGATGGTCTTCCAGTCCCTTTCCCTTCCTTGTCCCTGAATGTGACTGTTCTCCAACAGAGGAAGCCAGCGTCCTGGTAACTAGGATTAAAGGCATGAGGGGGCCATATCCTGAGCTCCTGTAATTCAAGCGCGTTGGAATTTGGCTGAGTTGCTCTTCCCGGCTAGGATCCCACACTACTGCAGGTAGAGCACTGCAGGTAGGTGGTGGAACACCTATAAAACAAGTGAATGCCTGCCCATAGATAAAGAGTCTGTTAGGGAAACAAGGTAAATTATCCCAAATCATAAAAACCTGGCCTGGCACAACTCAAAGAAAATCTTTGCTTGCCAGCTTGTTCTTGCCTTCCGTCAGAGGGTTAGTCTAAAGGGTGAAGGATCCTCCTGTATTCTAAACAGCGCACTCTGAATGTTACTGGGAAGAGGTCAGCCATATACAAGTCAGAAATTCTGCTTGTGAACTTGGTGTGTCCGCCAGCCCAGCACCTACCTATACAACTCCTCATAACTCCAGTTTCAGGGGATCTCCTGCTCTACGCACGCGTAGAGGCTCGGAGAGGTATGCACATAATTAACAATGAAAAAGTGGAGAAATAGAGCATTTTTCAGTGAATAGACATATGATCATGTGCTAGAACTAAACCATGTTCTAGTGTTAGCACGGTGCTCTACACCTGTCATCTTCCACTTCAGAAAAAGGAGCTTCCATTAACAGCACACTGTATGCACTTTCCTGAATCTTCTCTCACTGGGAGCTAGGATTGCTCCACAGCCTCTGTTCCCACAACCTACACTTGAAGTACTAGCATGCCTACCAGGTGTGCCTGTCCTGTGTGCCTGTCCTGTGTGTCTGTCCTGTGTGCCTGCCCTGTGTGCCTGTCCTGTGTGTCTGCCCTGTGTGTCTGTCCTGTGTGTCTGTCCTGTGTGCCTGCCCTGTGTGCCTGTCCTGTGTGCCTGCCCTGTGTGCCTGCCCTGTGTGTAGCTCAATATGCATTTGTGTTTGTCTGTCAATGGACCAATTTAGGCTGTAGCATTTCATACTTACTTTGGTTTTAACTGTTTTACCTGTGACTCCTCTGGTCATTCCTAAGCCACTACATGCAACCGTCACACACTCTTCCCTACTCTTCCCTTTTAGCCATGCCCACTTACCTGGGCTTCTTTCTTCTCAGTAAACAAGGACTAGTCATTACTGTCTAGATGAATGTGCATGTGCTCTCGGTGGGTATTTGGGAGCTCTTTAAACATCTCCTTCCTTTCCATCTGCCAGTTTCCAAGTTGCTTTAAAATTTCTGATTAAGTACAGGCTGAGGGAGAAGGGCTTCAAACTTGTGTCTCTGCTACAACAAACAAAGAAAATGCTAAGGTCTTCAATGTATAATTTCCCTAAAGAAAAGTTGGGGCTGGAGAGATGGCTCAACAGTCAAGAGCATTTACAGAGGACCCGAGTTCAGTTCCCAGCATGTATATGTGTCAGGCTGTGACTCACTCCAGCAGAATCTAACACCTCTGGCCTTCATGAATGAATGGGGGGGGGGGAGCGCTTTTAAAGTGATAAAAATAAATCTTATTTTCTCTTTGGAAAAATAATGGGATGTTCCTTAAGAGACATTCTTACAACATCACTTTCTAGTGAAGAGATACTTAATATGTTTTTTTAAACTATGGTTTTAAAAGGCAAAACACTTCCACTGTCTCCACTTGCCAAGTTAGTTTTTCTTTGGTAACAGTGTTGTAAAGTGTCCCCCAACAGCTTGTTGTAGGCCCACAAGGGTCCTTGATGTTCAATGTCAATAATGTTAGGAGGATAAAACGTCTTTCTCTCCACCAGAGCCAAATCCAGAAAGCTCTGGAAGTATTTTTCAGATTTAGCAAGAGGAAGGCAAGTTAGCAGCTGTAGGAAGCCTAAGAGGATCAAACACCACCTGCCCAGGGGCTCCAGGGGGCACTAAACAAAGCTCTAAGAGAACCCCTCCCTCCCAGGGAGCCAAGAAACTGTGAGACTGAAGAGAAGCCATGGGTCACCTGGGCCAGGTCTGCTCTGCACAAGGAGCTCTAAGACTGCAGGGGAAGAGAGAAGATGGAGCAGGAGAGGATCGAAAGGCAACATGCACACATGCCAAGTGCAGAGAGCGGCCCTGGGCTATTGTATCAGGCACAGTGGGTGCTCCTGGGCTGTCGAAGGTTGAAGAAGACATGTTAGGACAGCTGATCTGTAGCACGCAGGATGCATTGCATGTTTGAGGCCCAGCTCATTGTGAGCCAGTTTGTTTGGCTCAGGCTACACCTGACTTGGAGATGTCCTCATCTCTCTCTTAATTCACAGGGTTTATTTCACAATTCAGTCCATTGATTTTTTTTTCCCCCTCATGAATCCTTATAGCAGGAGTACAGCCTTCTGACACGCCACAGTGGCCTCCTTCTCCATCTAAACTGCCGAGG